GCTTTAAAACCTTAATCCTCATCTGTACAAGGGTTGTACAAAGCCCATGCATTAAAAGACTTCCATCTCGCCAGGTAGTAATGGCTTACCCTGACTGTGAACATGTATTTACTAACATTTTCATTGTATAACACAATATAAATTCTACATTTGCAAATGTTAAATTTTGAAGTGAGAAAAGGGCAGGCAAGTAAAGATACAAGTATCACATAGGAGGTATGTGACAAACTAAAGAAACACAACTGAGCTATAAGGAGAACCCATCCAACATGTTAAGGTTCTTTTGAAATTAATGTAGGTATCTTTAAATATTGGCCTACCCCAATGCAAATGCAGCTAAAGTAATGGTAAAAATTCTAAAATAATCATTTCCTGGAAAAAATGCTATGCTTACGTGTCCTCAAAACTATCTGCATGTGTGAGATTTATGGCCTTTGAAAACCTACTGCAGCTTACATTGGCCAAATTAATGAAAAACTAGGATGAAAATTAAAACATAGGTAATTCAAAATAAACATACAAAAAGTTTTCCACAAATCTCATGCTTTTTGAAATCATTATCCTATGCTGCTTTAAACTACACATATTTGCAAAAATAATTTGTAACGTACATCAAAGTCTGACAGATGCTGAAAATAAAACTTAAAATGAGTTTAGATACTGACTTACAAAATAACTGTTCTCATGGTCACTGTCAATGAGTCTTCTGGCTACTAAATTTTTGCTAAGAAGCTGAATCTGTCTGTGCTGTTTATAACCTGTATAGATTTAAAAAGCTCTAGTGCTTAAAATAGACAACTAAAATATTTACAGCACCTGTACAATATTATTCTGATACATTTTCATGAGTAAACAGCTGTTCATACATTGACAATGTAGTTAAACCTGAACCAATACTCTTCCCCCGCAACTTCTTTTTGATCACATTCCTATCCTTCAGGTCCACAGCCTGGAAACTGAAGTATAATCCAAGCACAGGAGTTAAATTTCCAAGATTTCAGGCCATATGATGAGATGCCCCCTAATTATTTCAATTTTTCCTATAAAATACCATCAAGACTTCATTTTTAACCATGCACCTGAAAGTCCTCCTACAATACATTATATCTTCAGTAATGCAACTTTATTATCTTTTTTTTTTGGCTTTCCTAAATACAATCTCTCCGCCTTTTAAATTCATTTGAAAGGTGATACTACAAAAATATTTTCCTTGTTCATTGCTTTGATTGTAGTTCTGTGTTCTTCCTTCTTCCTGATGAACCATATGATGAACAACCTACTTACTCTCAATTTCCAGGCTCTGCATGGCCTATTCTAGCTCTATCTCTTAAATTTGAACTGCTGTTCTACCAGTTATCAAAACGTAAGAAAGAAAATACGAGTGTTTGTCTAGCACTTCAGGCAGGAAACAAGCTATTTGTGAAAATCCTCAGGGTGACAATGCTACTATCCTTTAAATATACCCTCCAAGTCTGATGCCTATGAATCATTCACCGATGCAGAGATAGCCAGGGTACTTGAACTTCTGTATGTTCTTTTGCTCACAGCACTCTCACAGCTCCCTTGTGCTTTCCCAATACATTTCTTACATTTACATGCTGTCTTATCTTTACATTTAAATTAAGAAATTGTTTGTGCAGAAGCAATCTTTGCTTATGCATTTGTACTGTATGCAGTATAATGGTGCCCTGGCCTCTAGGCACAATTACAATATAAATAATAAAAATGAACTGTTGTTCACCTAAGATTAAGTCTCCTGACAATGCTATTCATGAAGCTGTACCCTTCAAACAATGATAAAAAGCTGTTCTAGCATCACACTCTACTCCAGGTACTGACACCACTGATTCCCAGTTCTTCACCTATAGGAAGCCTCAGCTGTTCCCTATACATATACCTGTGTCCTCAGTACCACTGGAATTTTTACAGGTAACCGGGTGAAACGCAGGGTAACAGAGACTTGTGCAGAGCTGTCCTACTGAAGAACCCTGTGCTCCCTTAACATAAGCCTATTTCTGGGAAGAGTTGAGAATCCTTGACATCTCACAGAAGCGGATTCAAGGCAGTTTTCCATCTGTCTGCTTAAACTCATCAAAATCTGCTTAAAAACATGGCCTTCGAGAAAGTAAAATACCTATAGCATTCTCCAATATGGTATTGTTCTTTAATGGAGGCATCCATAGCTGAGGAATTATTCTATTTTGGCTTTGCTGGTTTAATGTGGGGCTCTTTGTTTTATCATTACTTAGGCTGCACTTAGACTGAACATTCAGTGGAACATTTCCTATAATGGGATAAAGCAAAATGAACAAATGAACAATTTGACTGGCTAATAGTGATTTAGACATGTGATTACAGTACAGAAAATGGTCTGACATATGCTCTTTTATCTGGTTTACATGAGACACATTAATCCAACTGGAAAGCACCAAAGTGAAAAGGAAGACAGGACCAAGCAGTCAGAAGGAAAAAAAAAAAAAAAAAAAATTTACTTAGTTCTGCACTTGCTTAGCTAATTGTAATCAGTGTTTTGTAAACAGCAAAACTTACAAAGGAAAAACATTTTCTCCCCAAAATGGATACAACTAAAAAAAAAGACCAGTCTATACCTACTCTGAGAAAGTTAGAAAATAACTATTTTTGATAAAATCCTAGTTTTAGAAGCATTTATGACATGCCTTTACCAACACCACAGGTTTTCTATAAAGACGCAGAAGGACACTTAAGACCACATCAGACAGGAACAATCATACTGTGAAGAAAAAGAGTATTGATTCATTTTAATTTTTGTCTCAGCTAACTTAATTTCTGGCTCTTACACAAATGCTTATAGTCATGTCAGCATAAGTATTTTTTACAGGAAATTTTAATTTCCTCCTCAAACTAGTCGACGAAATTCCCATGACACCAAAAACTTTACTAAAAAAAGGAATTACCCCTTTAGCACCCACTTTTCATCAAGACCATGTACACAACCTCAAACTGGCCTATAAGATATGTCAACTTTCACAAATAACACTATTTTGCTTTTTGTGCAGACTGGTACATTTCAGTTGTATTTGCATTTTTCTTCCTAAAACTTCTTTTAAAATAAAATATTCAAAGGTTTCCTATGTAAGGTTTGGATTCCATATGTAGTAACAAAACCAAAGTATGTAAAACTAGGCATAAAGCAGGTGAACCTAAGAACTTTACTGCGAGTGTATGTTTGCCAACTACTTCCGACTATCGCTGTATGAAAATCTGTATCGAGCGAATACGTAAGATAATTAACAGAGAGAGCTTCAAACAATCTATCTCCACCAAAACCTGGGGGTGAATGTTAAAATCTTTGAAGGGACGCTTTCACCAACGACAACCAAAAAAATCCATATATCCCAAAGTAATGATAGTTCTGTTCTGTGATATTTATGTAACATATGTTTGTAAAAACAAGTTATAATAGAGTAAAGCATAGTCTTTGCATGCGTTTAGGTCCAGCCCAGATGAGTCCCTTGCTAGCGTTTTGGACTTCCACTGTGACATTATGGTTGGACTCGGTGATCTTAAAGGTCTTTTCCAGCCTAAATGATTGTGATTCAGAAGCAGACGGCGAGGTCTGGGGTGGGCGTCCAGCAAAGCACCAGCAGCTCACCTGGTTAAATACACTCAGGGGGTGTCAAACCGAAATCGTCCCTTCAAAACAAAGGGAAACAAACTCGGAAATCCCGAGGCTCCAACTGACTCTACAGCGCAGAGGCTATTCTGCTAACAAAATCCTTATGTTTCTTCCCAAAACGTGCTCGCCCAGCTTTGCCCTATTACTGCTGCCATCAGATATGTCACGGCAAGATCCACCGTTCTCAAAAATAACCCGCGGGGAGCGCAGCCAGCGCGGCAGCGGCCACCAGGCCTCTCCGCGCCCAGCCCGGCTCGGCACCTCACGGTTACCAGCGCCGGAGCGGCCGTACCCGCCCGTTCGCCCGCGTCTCTCGGCGGGGGGAGTGGGGGGGGAGGCGCTCCTTGTGCCCCCTCAAGGGCTCCCCGTCCCCGCGGCTGCGGCAACTTGTGCGCGCCCGCCCGGGGCTGAAGGGAGGGGAGAGGCCCCCTCAGGGCGGGCGCGGGGCGGCGGGGGGGGGGCAGCGGCACGCCGCGGCCGTTGGGGCCAACGAACGCCCGCGCCCCCGGCGGGGAGAGGCCGCGGTGAGGGGAAATCTGCCAGAGCCGAGGGAGAGACGCGCGCGCACACACACACACACACACACACACACACACACACACAGAGCCCCCCACACCACCACCCCCCCAACACACACCAACCCCGCTTGTGTTTGTTGTGCTTCGCCGCTGTCCCGCCGCCGCCTGACAGCTCCCCCCCCCCCCCCCTCCAGCCTCTCCCCACCTCCGCGCACACGGCGGGGTTGGCGGCGAAGAAACTCCTGCCTCAACTTTGCGTGTGCGCGTCCGCACCCGCCTCTGTCTGTCTGTGTGTCAGGAGGGGGGTTGCGGGGGGACACACACACACACACACACACACACGTTTCTCCTCGCCACCCGCCGAGAACCGTCTTTTCTTTCCCAAAAAGAGGAGGGGGGATAAAAAGGGAAAGCTACGAGGAACTACCGTCAAGCCAGACGACGCTGAAGGCAGCCGAGCGTCCTGGAGAAGAGACCCAAAAAGGAGAAGGGGGAAGGTGCAAAGGCAAGGGGAAAAGGAGGAAGAGGGGGAAGGGGGAAGAGCTGAAAAGAAACTCCGAAGAAGGAGGAGAAGAAATGAATAGGGACGGTGAAAGAAAAGTGGGAAAGGGAGAGCAGGCGGAGGAAGACAAAGGTGAAAAAGGAGGAGGAGGAGGGGAAAGTGCAAAGGGGAGAGGAGGAGAAGAAAGAAGGGCCCTTCTCAAAATGGCATTAGGCAGGAGGGAGGGGGCGACGAGCACCGAGTCTCCGCTGACAGCTCTGCCTGCGCCTGGCCGCCTGCCCCCTGCCCCTTTCTGCCTCGCACACACAAACGCTGAACTTACTTCTTTCTGGCTCTCTGGAAAGGGGAAGCGCCATCTTTGCGAGGCCGGCCCCTAGGTCTTTTGTCTGTGGCTGCTGCTGCTGCTGCTGGGGGGGGAGCTCCAGGCTCGGGGGGCTGCTGCTGCTGCTGAGGAGGCTCCACCACCGCCACCACCAGACTCTTGTCCTCCGTTGACATCCTAGTCAGCAGGACGAGAGAGACACATGGATGATGATGATGAGGATGAAGATGAGGATGGTGATGGGGATCCCGATGCTCCTCCTGCTCCCGCGGCTCCTCTCCTCCTCACCTCCGCCTCCTCCACCTCCGCCTCGCATTGCTGGCCTCAGCCGCCGCCGACCAGCACAGGTAGCAGGGGGAGCAGCATGGGGAGAGCAGGAGGAGGAGGGGAGGGGGGGGGTGGGGGGGGGCGCGAAGAGAAAGAGCGCTGAGGAAGGAAGGGTCTCACACACAATAACACCCCCTCCCCGGCTCGGCGGGGTCTGTCGGGGCTGGGGGTGGTGGCGGGCGAGGTGAAGAGAGCGAGCGAGAGGAGGCGGCTGATCCCGCCGCTGGGCTCCCCCCCCGCTCTCAGAGGCCCCGGGAGCTGGCGGCGGCTCCGGCTCCTGCGCTGCCCGGCTGCGGCGGCCGCCGCTTCATTGTACACTGGCCCTGCGCCCTCCCCCCGCGCAGAGCCCCCGGGGGCGGAGGAGGAGCAGGCGGCGGCGGCGGAGGCGGCAGGGGCCGAGGCCGAGCGGAGGAAGTTTTGACAGCTCCAGCTGTTGTGTGTGCCGAGGGCTGAGTCCGGCCGGGCTCCGCGTCCCCTTCCCAGCCGGGCCGGGAGCAGGAAGTTTAACTTTGGGGAAAGAAGGAGGAGGAAGGGTGAAAAAGGGGGAGGAGGCAGGGGGAGGAGGAGGCGGCTCCCTCTCCGCGGGGTGGAGAAGGGATCCCGGCGCTGCCGCCGCTGCCCTGGTGTGTAACCCCCCCCCCGCCCCCCCCCCCAGTGCGACACATAGACACAAACCCCTCCCGCCCTCCTCCTCCTCCTCCTCCTCCCCCCGCCGCGGCCCCACACTGCGCCTGCCCGGCCCGCCCGCCCACCGCCCGTCCCACGGCGCAGACACCCATCCGCCGCCGCTGACCTCACGGGCTGGCTGCCGCGGCGGGCTGCGGGGAAAGCGCGGAGCCGCGGAGCGGGGGACGGGACGGAGCGCAGCGCTCCGCACACCCACCCCGCACCGCACCCCGCGGGGGACGGCAGCCCGCTCGCTCCCCCCACCCCTCTCCCCGCCCTTGTTTTTTATTTATTTATTTATTTGTTTATTTTCCCCGACGTCCCCGTGGAATAAAAAAAAAAAAAAAGGAAAAAAAAAAAAAAAAACAAACACAACACTCAAGCTGGATATGAAAGTGGCCGCTTCGTAGCGGGGTGCCCCCGCCCCGTCCCCCCACATGGGCTGAGCTCTCCAGGGGCAGCGCACGGTGCCCGGCCCGGCGGCGCTCGCTCCTCCCGGGGAGCCGGGGCACGGCTGGCTGCAGCCAGGAGGCGGGGGGAGCTCCCCCCCCCCCTCCCCCCGCCGTGCGTCTGCGGCTCGGGGGGGCGGGGGGGAAGGCAGCGAGCGGCGGGGAGCCGCGGCCGCCCCCGGGGGAGGGGAGGGAGCAGAGTTCAGCGCTGTGTGCGAGGGAGACAAAGTCTGGGGAGCGTGGCCGCTTTCCAGCAGCTCCGGCTGGAACAGCTGCGGCCGCTCGGGGCGGCGGGGGGGCCCCCCCCCGGGCAGGGGCCTAGCTGGCTGCCTGCCCGCCCGGCTGCGCGGCGGCTCGGGGCGGGGTTAAGCCTCATTACAGGGGATTTAACGTGTCCCGGAGGCCAGGAAGGGACTCCGGCTCCGAAGGGGAGGGGGAGCGCTAGGGCCTCGCAGCCAGAGAAAAGTCCGGACACGGGGTTCCCAAGCGGGCCGTGCCCCCCATATCCCCTTTCCCGGATTTGCCGCCCCGGTTCTGTCCGGCGGCGGAGCTGCCCGCCCGGCCCGGCCCCCCCCCCCGCCGCCGCCGCCGCAGCGGGCGCCGCCCTGAGGGCAGCCCCTGAGGCGGCCTCCCGCCCGCCGCTGAGGGCAGCGCCGCGGGGCCCCTCACCCCCGGGCCCCGGCGTCCCTCCCTCCGTTCCCTCCCTCCCGCTGCCCCGAGCTGGAGCAGCCGGGTGCGGAGGGAGCGATTCAGATGCTGAATCGTCAAATGGGTCGTAGGCAGAACGAAAGAAACGAAGCCTGCCGCCCTGCAGCGTGCGTGGGTGACTCGGGTTTGGGGCAGGCACGCTGGAGAACTTCGCCGGACTTACAGAAGTCGTGGGCGGCGATACCTCCAAGGCTCCGAATACGTACAAATACATCTCGAGAGCGTTCCTCCCTTGTCATTTAGGTTCCAGTTCTGTGTTTGAATCCCGGTTGATAAAATGGCCTAGGGTAGCACACAGGTGCAACAAGGAAGGGAGGGAAGGAGGAGCTAATGTTAGCGACTATTTTTTTGATGTGAAAAGAAACAGCAATCCAGGCCTTTATGCTGTTCTTCCTTCCTAAATTTTTCACTTATCGGCTTCAGAAATGCTAAATGAAAATGGCATGCTGTGGAAAATAAGGCTTTTGCTAGTCTGTGTTCCTGGGAACCATTTCATAACAAAAAGCTTTCATTAGTTCATTTCCTAGGTTTGTGAGTAATTAAATTAGACCTTTGTGACATTTTCATATCTATATGTGGAGATAGAGGTAATACACTTTATCTATACATGTATTTGCATACATACATATATATATAAAATAACGTAAAGCCATCCCTTTCAGCCATGCAAGGACAGCAGTTGGATTGCTGGCATGACTTTCTTGGCCCTATTACTGAAAATGTACTCATTTCTGTCAAAATATATATCGCAAGATAAACGTTTATATTATGAAGCCTGCAAATGACAACATAGTTACACTGCTCATACCACTTCAGATATGGGGACTTGATCTGTTTACATCTTGTCTAACACAGAAAAAAGTGCCTTTGAATTTTGTTAACTCTGGCAAGTTAGCATAATTTAACTGAAAACATTTAATGCTATACAGGCCCAGACTTGGGTGGAGTAGAGAGAAAAAAAGCAGGGGAGGGGAGGGAGAGAGAAGTAAAAGGCCACAGCCTTTGCACAGTGGGATCTCTGGTGTGGCATTTGCTGGAGTTGCCAGGTTGCCATCTGGTCTGCTATAAAAAAAGGCCATCTCCTGGAACACCGACTGTGCGTGTGTGGATTCACTGCGCTTGCGTGATGGCTCGGGTGAGCCTGGGATGTGTCAGAGCTACCATGCGTGTGCAGATTGATCGGCACCGAGACACGTGAGCAGGCTGTGGGCTCGGATCAACGGCTAGGTGTGTGGGGAATAACTGTCACATCCCACAGCAGTAATACGCTCAGGGAAATCACTGAATTCACTTGTCTACGCGTGGCTCATCCGGTCCTCCCATGTAGACATGGTTTAATACATTTAGATCACCTGTAAGGGGTTGAGCTTTGGGCTTTGTCTCTTAGGCAAAAGCAGGCGTGCGTTTTTAACTTTTTTTCCTCCATTGTTTTTATATTGACTATATGTCGCTATCACAATATAAAATCCGAGTGGAGGTAGGACAAAGTTGGCTTTGGTGTAGCATGGTCTAAGACAAGAGCACATCAATGGGTTTAACATGCTTTTATTTGTTATACTACTGTGCCTTATCTCGTTGCATGTCCGAACAAAGCTAGGCAGGTCTGTTCCGTGTGCTGCTGCTGCCATGTCTGTGGCAATCAAAGGTGTGAAGAGCTGTGTAGGACCGAGAGAGTCTTGTGAGCAGGAACCTGAACTGGAGATGGAATTGTAGGAAACTGGGTTTACTAGCATTATTTATCACTCGGTGAAGGCAGGGGGACAAGCTAGGAGAAATTGTGTCAGCAAACATAAATCCAGGGTAGGAGTGCTTTGTTGATTCAGGACATTTGAACAGCTCTGTCAGGAAAATTTTTACATTTATACCTGGCCAGTGCTTAGACACCTATTATAAATTATCTCTCTCTGGAAAACACACATTTTTACAGCAAAGATGTAATATTAAATGAACGGGTCCTCTGCTTTACTGAATGCTAAGAGATCTTGTGGTTCATTGTAAACTAACTCAGGTGAACACACCTGATTATTTTTTAACTTTCAACAGCAGCCAGCTTTGAAAGTTTCAGCCAGAATTTTACATTCTAACCTTCCTTAAAATAAACATTCAGTATTTTTGGAATTGCTTCTGAAATATAAATAAGACCCTTGCAGTACTGATTAAACAAGGCTAACAGTTTTAACTTCAAACCTTCTTAAGTTGTCCCAGTGTGCTTAATGGTGGAGTGATACTTTCAGAATAGAACAACTTGAAGACGGGATGCTGTCTTAAAACATCTAGCTAAGGAAGATGATCCTGTTATAGAAATAATGAAGGGAAAATGACAACTGGTGTAAACACTGTTGTACCATTATGCAACTAAAGTGGTGTATGTGACAGAAATAGTGAGAAAATTATTGCAGATTCTATCAAGAATGGGATCCAGATACTTTCTCTTTTACAACATTAGTTCAGAACTCTGCCAGTTTATTGATCGTTCACTACTCTACATAAAACAAATAAAAAGTTTAATTTTTGTTCTCTTTGCATGTGTCTCCATTGCAGAAAAGTGCACCAACTTATCACAAAGGCTTCATTTAAGAAATGTCAGCAACATGCTAACATTTTAAATATTCAGTATATGGAACCATTTTGTCTTAACCTGTACTAAATTGATAATTGACTGTAGTGAACATCTGCTTACTTCAGTATGCTGCTCTGAAAACTGCGGAGATTTTGGAGCCAGGGCACATCCCATTTGGCTGTCCTTGCTGTGAGAGTAGCAAACGGCAGGAGAATGGTGCAGTAACCACAACTGCCCATGGTAGTTTTTTACATCTGCATTCGTACTCACCCAAGTAGTTCAGAAATAACTGAAGAACTGTTTTTTTAGTATTAAAAAACAAACAACCCCAAGGTGATTTAAAAGAGTTCTAGACAAAGCCTAAATCAGGTGGCAAAGTCAGGATTACATCATACAAATGCATGACTCCTAGTTTATTTGTACTAGATTTGGCTCAACTGAAAAAAAAAAAAAAAGCAGCATATGTTAATTGTTGTATGCTAACAAATGCATTGCAGAAGTCTAGTTTTAAACTTGAAATATTTGTTTCTTCTTTTCATTGGTTTTGCTTACTTGTCATCTTGTAGATCCCTCTTACTTTAGGCAACAGCACAGCCTGGACAGTGGGTATGACATAGCCTTGAGCGGTGGTGACTTTCCCAGCAGTTTGGTGAGATGCTTGTTGCTGCAGATGGTGGGGGATAAACCTCACTTCTCCTGAGCAACATTCCCAGACAGCTGGACAATTCCAGTTATCAGGTGCTCCAGAGCAATGGACAGATAGTGTGGAGGTCCAGTTCCCCTGAAATCCATCAAACTGCTCTCTTTGGAGGCAGCAGAGTTCACGGTCTATGAGGAAAATCATTTCATTCTTGTTCTTGTTTTCTCACCCTCTCCCTACCATGAAATATCTTGACTTAATATTCTACAACAGCTACTCTCCACACAAACTAATCTGGTGTTTGTATGAATGTGGGCTAATACAGTCTAGGCTCCCCATCCCCTGCCTGCTTTAACTTGACTAGTTTAGTTTGTGTTAAAGGCAGCCTTGCCCACGCTGTGATATATGTGCTAACCTCACACCTTTACACCTTAGTCTCACCAAAGCCTAAGGCCTTTTCATCATATTAAGCTACTTTGACTGGGCTAATGTGACTGAGAAACACACCTTTTTTATCCATTAAGACAAGGCCAAAAATGTTAAGTGCTCAACATGCAAGCCCCTAGGGCTTGTCTATATATCGAGTTATTACACGTGGAGGCTTTTATCTTCATAAGAAA